TCATGTGTGATCAAGTCTGGAGGGCCTAGGTAGGTATCAATCCAGCACATTCGCAGTATATCCCAGGTGTGTTTAGCGCTAATGTCTTTTAACCATCTGCCGGATTGGAAGCGAGTTGCTTCATCAACAACGTGAAGGAGAGGCATATTGTCAATATACATGATATCGACAATAATGTTGAAGTTAAAATGTGCCTCATCCTTGAGGTTAAATCGGAATCGACCAGGGGATTTACCAAACTTCTGACAATAGTGGCAGAACTTAGTGAGATGTTCTAATGCGGCTGTATTTGGCTCATGACCAGCACTTCTTAAAAGCGTCTGAAGTCTATCAACAGATGGATGTCCGAAACGGCGATGTAATCTCCGTAGCTCAACGTCTGTCAGGAAACAAGGATTCATATCGAATGAAGAGGTAAGGTATGAAGACAGAGCAGAATTCCATAGCAGAAATGGGTGGCCGAATCGGCGAATAACAGGGATCTCAACCAATGATTTAGTAGCGGAGTTGAAGGGCGTTGCAGGTTTCGGAGTCACGATAACGTTCTTGAGGTTGTTGTAGTATATTCCGAGATTGTCCATATCTGCTAGGCATAGCAGAAATGGGGTATCAGCGTTGACAATATGGAATTGGATGTTGCCAATTGGGGTTGAAACTTTTGCGGAGCCAATTGATGAGGTTATTCCAATGCCAAATTGGACGTTTACCTGGCCAGCCGTAGAGGTATCTAATGTGATGTTTTCTGTGTTTTGAAGTGCCTGGAATTGGCCATATCCAGCTGTAGACTTGCTGGAGGCACCAGTATCAATCATTATTCCCATAAAGATCTCAGAGTTGTACCGGGTATCGCTCGCGGAAGTGGTAGTGGCGTTATAGCTGAATGGGTCGGTGTCAACTATCGGGTTCGAAAACTTTTGATCGTTGATACAATGGGTGAAGGATCGATTGGCAAGTTCAGAAGTTGTGATCATTGCTTGTTCAGTAGTAATTGAGCCGAATGAAGTAACAAATGTGTCAATAAGGTCGTATTCTTCTTCATTAAGGTCTGTTTCGGTTCCGGGATCAAAAGTTCGGGTATCAGTTACGAGTGCTTCAAAAGCCTCTGCTTCCTCTTCATTGGTATTTCCTTCACAATATATCATATACTGCCTGTATCGCCTGCTGAAGTCGCCATTCATTCCTTTGTCATTGTTAAAACGCTGTCGATATTTCTCTTTGGATTGCCTTTGTTCTTCCTCAGTGTGTCTCCAGGAGCGGCAGGTTGATTTTTGGCAGACATAACACTTGCCCGCTGGGTCTCTTTTGCCTTGGTTGTAGTTCCTGTTCTGGTTATAGTACCTTCTATCAGTGTAGAAGACTTCTTCTCGGGTATCTGTATGAGAAATTCCGTGTCTTTGTGGGTTCTCCTTCTCCCAAGTGCTGATTGAGGATTGCAGTTTGTTGATTAGTACTGCTAGGTCTTCAGGTGGATCAGCAACGGCCATGCGGCAGGCTGGTACTCCCTGGCAAGCTGTAATAAGCTTGTTAATCAGATTCATGTTGCTTCGGAGTTCAGGGTGGAGGCCGTGGCGTTGTTTTAGGAGGTTACTGAGTAGGAGCTGAAAGCCTTGGTAGATTGAGATTGATCTTTCAGAGTTATCATTCATAACCTTCTGCAGTGAGATAGCGTTCCACTTAGTCAAGTTCTGCCGGTAGAACTCAGGTCCTTCAAAGAACTGGCGTAAGTGATGGCATGCTTCTTGAAATGTCTTTGATGATAATCCACTGCTGTAATAGTGGTCTTCAGCAACTCCCTTGAGCATTGTTGGCAATGCAGCTTTGTAGCCATGTAGTGGTAGGCCAGCTCTAGAGCAAATGTCATAAAAGATGTTGAGTTTGAAGTCAAGGCTGCTGTTGTCCGTACCGCTATATTTCTGGTCTTCTGTGTAGATCTTTGTGACTGAGGCAATTTCCTTGGAAAGGTCGTTCTTGGGCCTCATGGAGAGTAGATGATTGTTCTCTTGGGCAACGTGGTTAGTCTCGAGGGCGAGATAGTCAGCTTCAGGAACGTGACTGATTCCTGGGGTGGAAGAATTGGAGGGATTGGCTT